GGTATCGTCGAGTCCTACTCTTCTGACCTCGGCTGCTAATTCAGCCTTTGATAATTGATATATTCAACTCTTCATGAGTGGATGCGCAGACGAATTGGTGTCTCACGGTGCAGGTCCCTGTTCGGGCGCCATTGTGACGGTTCACTTCTCTTGCGCTCGGATATGCTTGCCGGGCTAGGTATGCAAGAAAGCGCGAGACAACCAACGCGTGTTAGCGAGATTTTACCGAGGTTCAAAAAGACGGTTGGTAAGTCGGCGGGACCGGTCCGGAGGTTACGGTCGGCAAACCGGGCGCTCAATGCGGTTCGGTCGATAACGAGCGGAGCAGACGTGGGGTCGGGAGGCCCTCGAAGGGCGGTTGCAGTATGGCAGCGCGGCACCTAAACGCAGCGAGATCGAGAGCTGGTCTATGTCGGCCAGGCGCCCCGGCCCGACAGTGGTGGAGAAGCCAAACGTCCTGGCCTTCTGCGTGTGCCCGGTGTCGGAGCCAACGGGACCTGATCTAACGGGAAGCGAAAAAGCCAGACGCCCCGGCTTTCTCCTCAGGATGCGGGAGACGTGAAGAAGTCAGGCGCCCCGACTCTCTTCGCAGGAGGAGTGAAGAAGTCAGGCGCCCTGACTCTCTTCGCAGAAGGAGTGAAGAAGTCAGACGCCCCGACTCTCTTCGCAGGAGGAGTGAAGAAATCAGGCGCCCCGACTCTCTTCGCAGGAGGAGTGAAGAAGTCAGGCGCCCTGACTCTCTTCGCAGGAGGAGTGAAGAAGTCAGGCGCCCCGACTCTCTTCGCAGGAGGAGTGAAGAAGTCAGGCGCCCCGACTCTCTTCTCAGGAGGAACGGTCTCGACAGGAATAGGTTCGGGACCGGACTGGTTGCCGTCGCTCCGCGGCGACGGCTTATATACCCCCGCCGATGAGCTTTGGCGGGGGCTGCGGAGTGGGGGTTGCCCTCGAATAACACGCTCGGCGCGCGTGTTTAGTCGGAGTTGTGGCGCTAAGCGCCGGGGGCGGCTGGTCGGCCCCTACATAGTGACGGGGCGGAAGGCGTATTGTCATATCCTTTTAATAGATAATTAGTTTGTTCAGTATAAAGTATATTTCAATCTGATTTTAGGTATATACATACATATATTAATTAAGGGGGGAACCTAGTTTAGAACGCTGAAAAAGAACTGATTTTTGGGCATTTTTTCTGAACAAGCCTTGATGTCGATCTTTCTAAAACTTTAAGGGTAATTTGTCCTATATTTAGACAATACAAAATAATTTTTTCATAAAAAAAGGATAACGGGAACATCAAGTTATAAATAAATTTATATTGTGCTTCGCCACTGGAGTTGTAAATTGGCGGGAAATCTGCAGCCTCCAATTCTTGTCTGAAACAAAAAAAAACAAAAAATTTTTTAAAAATTAATATTTTATTGTTGATGAACCAAAAAAAAATAGGCAAAAAAGTATCAAATTGTAAAAGTTGTGGAACTTTAAACACAAAGTGTAAATTTTGACCAAAAAATTTCGACTTATTCATGCATAAATAATTGTTTAAACTAATTTTGTTATAAATGTTTTTGGTTCACATAGAATAGTTGATAATCAACTAAAAAATCTTAGCAGAAGTCGATTGATCGAATAGTTTTTGAGTTATCTTTCCCCCCAATTTCAAAAAAGTGGTTTTGAGAAAAACGCGTTTAAAGTTTTCGGTATTGAAAAGTAACAGAGACAAGTGATTTTTGCCACTTACCGTTAATCTGCTATTCCAGACCCGCATACAGTAAACCTTCCGCTTCCTCAAAAAATTCGTTTTCTTTCATTCGTAGTTGACTGCGAGCTGTAAGAGCTTCTATCGTGCTACTTAATCTACGTCGTTCCTGCCTCGTAATTCGCTGCTGATCATAATTCTCGACGAATATCTTGCATTGTTGGCCAATATTTATAATTTCTAACAATATTTATTGCTAAATTGCATTATTCTTATAATACCAGAATAGCCTTCATTGAAGACACATTCAGCAATGAAGGCGGCGATTTCAATAATTTTTGCACCGGAATTCAGGTGCTTTGGAGCAAGGCGCCAGACGGTAAAGTTAAAACTCTCGTTTGAGTTTTGTGTATGTCCGCCTAAACATCTGGTTAAAAGATCTTCCTTCGAAAGCTGTTCAAAGTCGATAATACCGTGCTAGAGACCGAGCGGCAGAGTACAATCCCAGTAAGAAACAATATGTCGACCCGACGTCGAAGAGTGGGTTCAAAATGGGATCGAAATTGACATCGACATCAATTTCTTTTTGACTCCTATGTCGACCTCCTGTCGATTCAAACTGCGTAATCGATTTGACATCGATCATAAATCGAAATCCTGCCCAATAAAAAGAACAGAAAGATCAAAATGACATAAAAATAAGATCAAATTTTAGTTTGTCAAAACGATGTCAAATTGCATAAATTTTTTATGTATTCTTGACCATTCCAATTTAATTGCTA